ATAAGTATATAATAGTTTTTAATGAAATATTATATCAAAGGTTTTGAAAAAATCGATATACTAAATAATTTACATGTCCAAAAATGATGATATTGTCTATTTGGGTACTGATTTTTGTGTTATAATGACGGTGTGTATGCGGTTACTGAAGTCAAATGTTAAACCGTCAAACTTTGAAAAAGAAGTATTAAACTTAGAGATATTATATATTTTATGTGTGTTTAATAGAAATATTTTTAATTTTATGCAAAGTTTTATCGTAAAATTAAAAATTAAACAAAACTAACCTAAATCAATGTACAAATAATACACTTTTAACATATAACATTCAACAACAATCAGTTAATAACAATACATCCACAACTAAACCACACAAACATTAAAAATTAAAAACAATAAACTATTGTCAAAACATACACCACTAAACCAAACCAAAAAAATATCAACGATAAACAATAATGGGTACCAGCGAGAGTATTTTTGGAGGTTAGTAATTTGGATGGAAGAGAGTAGATGGCCAGAGTGGGTAAGTCTAGTAGGTTTCTAGATTATGTTATACGTCGCTGAAGAAGGTCTATTCATTGTTAAAATCTGCACAGAAAGATGAGAGACTGAGGAGGATGACAATGATTTCTGAGAAACTAAGAGAGGTGAGACGGTTAATGAGGGAAAGAGAAAAAGTTTTGGCTTTGTATTAGACAAAATGAGTAGTACGTGGGTGTAATTAAATTGAGTGAGATTCAAGGGCAGAGCCACCCTTAGACTAGGGTGGGCACGTGCCCCTCTCAATTTTATTTTTTTTTGACATTAGATATATATTTTTTAAAATAAAATTTAGATATATTTAATTGTATCCACCCTTAATTTTTTTTACAATAAATATATATTTTTTTAAATAAAATTTAGACATATTTAATTGTGTCAACTTTATTATTGTATTATTGTGATATCAATTAAGATAGACGACTATTTAAATAATAATTAATTTTTAAATAATATTATTGGAACTAATACATTATGATATTAAATCTAATAGTGAGTCCTTATATTTAATAACGTTTACTATCCATCCAATGGTCACAAATCATTGGGTTCCTATCAATTAAATTTTGAATTTTTTTTTGTCAAGATATAAAATTAAATTTTAAATTAGATGCAATTATTATTATTCTTAAATTTTTAGACACGGACATGTTCAAATAATTTTTAGACATATCGCGTTCATTTACCTAAATTATAGGATTATTTTATTATTGTATAGAAATGAGCGTCATAATTTAATAAATTATAAGGTAATAAATAAAAGACTGTTATTACCATTTTGTATATAGAAAAAAAGTATTTATTGATATCATTGATTTATAATTCTTTTAAATGATAAACAATAATCATATTTAATTGTAAAATGATCAATTGAAAAAAAAAATGCTATTTAGATCTAATTTGATGACATAATTAAATGCACCTCTTTGATTGAAAGTAGACTTCATCTAATATTGAAATTTATAACTAAAATAACAGTTATATTGAATTAAGTCATTGGTAACATTGATAAAAAAATAATTAAAATTTATTAATGTACCCACCCTAAAGTATTTTTTTAGCTCCGCTCCTGGTGAGATTTTATTTTTGTGTGGAATGTGTTGTGAGTCATTGAATTAAGTTTGATGGATTGACATGAAATTAGATCATTTAATTTAAAATGAATTAAATCTAAGTTGTTTTTGTGCTTTTTCAAATTTAAAATAGAGACATATGAGAGATAGGAGTGTAGAGTCTTACGATAAGAGTATTCTTCATGGGTGGGAAAAAAAATTCAGGACTAACTGTAGATTGTTAGATCAAAATTCTTGAGATGATCTGAACCGTTTCTTATGTTGGAATTACATTGTCCGTTGGATGTGTTTATATTTTGTTTCAAAATTATTTGAACCTCTCTTTGTCTTTTAAATTCAAAATTCGTTTTACTTTATTATATAGACTAGTCATTGCCCGTGTCTGAAGGCACGATGTTACTTATAAAATTTTAATACACAAAGATAGGATATTTGAATATTTCAACACATAGCGATTAGATTGGTTTTAAACATTTTTTTTTGTGCAATTGATATCTTATTTTTTTTGTATTTGTCACTTATTTTTTTTTAATTACTGATTAACTTGAGTTTTGAATTTTTTTTTAATTTTTTGAGAACTATAGGTTTTCATACAGTAGTAATTTATTTTTTGCATGAATAATAACTTGATGATTTTATTTATGGATTATAAAAATAATTTAAACTTCATTGATCGATAAGAAATAAGAAATAAACATCAACCATTAGTACTAAGATGTGTGATAAAAAATCTACTTATAGTGTACTCTAGATATGAATCATTTTGTAATAAAAAGGATAAAAATTTATATAGTAAGTATATAATGATTTTTAATGAAATATTATACCAAAAGTTTTAAAAAAATCGATATACTAAATAACTTACATGTCTAAAAATTGTAACATTGTCTCTTTGTGTACTGATTTTTGTGTTGTAGTGACGATGTGTATGTTGCTATTGGAATCAAATGTTAAATTATCAAACTTTAAAAAAGAAGCATTAAACTTAGATATATCATGTATTTTATGTGTGTTTAATAAAAATATTTTTAATTTTATTCAAAATTTTATAGTAAAATTAGAAATTAAACAAAATCAATCTAAACTAAGGTATAAACAATACACTTTTAACATATAACATTTAAATCATTTAATTTAAAATAAATTCAATCTGATTTGTTATTGTACTTTTCAAATTTAAGATAGAGACATATAAGAGATAAGAGTGTAAAGTTTTATGATAAGAGGCTTCTTCATGGGCGGAAAAAGAAATTCAGGACTAACTGTAGACGGTTAGATCAAAATTTTTGAAATGACCTAAACCGTCTTTTATGTTAGGATTACTTTGTCTGTTGGATGTGTTTATATTTTGTCTCAAAACAATATTAATCTCTCTTTGTCTTTTGGATTCAAACTTCATTCTACTTTATTTTATAAATTACATGACAAGTTTATGATTAAAATTCGTTAGTAATCTGGACGTTAAATGCTTGAGAGACCATATAGAAACATATTCAATACTTTAGAGACAAAAATGATGTACTTAAAATATTATGGACTAAAATAAAACAAACTTCAAACTTTGGAGACTTTCTAGTACAATTAACCTTTAATATAATAAGGATCAAACTGATAAAGTGAACATACTTTAAAGACTAAAAATACAATTAACCCAAATTTATTTGACAAAAAAAAATGCCCCCAAAATGCACCGAGTGGCTACCCCTCGCCCACTCCCCTCATTCAATCCTCGAACTTTGGAATATGTCTATCAATGCCATCAATTCTGATCTAAATCCGGACTGAATTTGAATTCATTAAATTCAATGTTAATTAGATTCTTTGTATAATATTCCATGAATTATTTAAAGACTAGGGATAACTCAAGTTTAAAAGTACCATGTAATATAAATAATGTTAAAAGAGATGTTGGTAATTGTTGAATGAGTTTATTTGAGACCGTCGAATAAACTTATTGCAACATTCTCTATTTTATATTATAAATATCAATATTCAATTTGACAGTGACCTAAACAAATTATATATATAGATACATAAATACTCAATGAAATTAAGTAATTATTTGATAGATTTTATTTATTAAAATAAAGCTTTATATGAGTAATGCGTGTTAGATTTCTAATTTTTTAACGGATTTGAATATGGTCTCAACAAATAAAATCTATCAAATTGTAATTAAATTTTGTTTGGAATTTTCAATTTGGTTTTTGAGACTCGAGTCGACGAAAATCTAATCTAAATTCAATTCTTTAATAGATCTACTTTGCAAGGATTAATTGTATTATCTTTCTTAAATATATAGTTTAAAAAATATAAAATATTTTTGATTCTTAATTTAGTTTTAGAAAATTCAAATCTGTACTTCATGAAATGTTTGAAATAATAGTGTCTTACTCTTGAAAATTTTCTAAAATATGATTCATTCTATGGTCTATACCGGTAGAAATTAACACTTTCATTGGAACAAAGCGATTAAGTAATTTTTCAAATGCATGAATTACTTATCGAATGTTAACAATATTTCCATTAGGGTTTTATTCATCTAGAAAAAAAAGTCTTTCAAATTATAAATTAATAACATGTGATGTATGATCAACTACGTCATAAGAAAAAGTGAACAGATTAGCAATACTAATTATTTCTTATAAGTGAACAAGGTAAACTCTATTTGTTTATACGTAATAGTTATTTTCTTACATAAATGTTAATTTAGTATTAGATATATGATACTAATGATGTGACGAAACCATTATATTGAATATTTTCTCCAATATGATTGGAGATAGAAGTCCGTGTAACAAGTGGGAGAGAAACGTGGAGAATTCCAATTGGGTGACAATTTTATTGGGAGTGTATAATTTAGGCACGTCAATTTCAACTCATCTCAAAATATTCATTATTTGAATAAAAGTTTAAATCTTTATACAATTTAAATTTGAGCAATACTCTGTAGAGTCCAAAGTTTTGACACTCAAGTAAAATAAACTCAAATTAATGAATTAGGATTCAACCCGAATTTTAGCCCAAGTTGTGCAACCTGAAACTTAAACTCGAGTTATAGATGATTTTAATTTAACTTGAACCTGAATTTTAGTTAGGTATATATAGTCCAAGAACCAAATTCAAATTGAATCAATTTAAACCCGAATTTTATTGAGTTTTCTGACCCAAGTATACAATTTTAGATATGGCTACGTTTTGGTTAAATTAATTGATTCGAACATGTAATTCAGTAGCAAATATTAAATGTAGCGGTGACACCACATCACAAAATTCTTTAATCAAATTTGATGTCCATCAAAACTCAAATGTTGCATTGCAAGTATAATAAAAATACATCATAGTACACAAACAAGATAGTTACCATTTTAAGAAATTACTTTCAATTTTGATTACAAACTGACCTGTATGTTCTGCGCTGTCTTTATTCATTACGGGCACTGAGACAAAACATAGAAGTGGAACAAGCAGAAGATTTATAGCCATGCTGGTTCCTTCAAAGGAGTAACAACAGCTTTCACCTGCAAGTAGTTATGGAGGCTGTAGATACCCTTTTCCCTGCCAATACCACTCATTTTGTACCCACCAAATGGAATTGCAGCATCGAATACATCGAAGCAATTAACCCACACAGTCCCGGCTTTTAGTGCTCGTGTCAAGGTATTGGCAGTATCCAAGTTGCTGGTGAAAACCCCTGCTGCTAGACCGTAGCGTGTTGTGTTTGCCCTTTTTATCACTTCATCAATGTCCCTGATATGGAGAAACAAGTATGTGGATATTTACGAACACTTGAAAAACATTCCTATATTTTCCTCTCAGTGTGTGTTTGCAAATTAAACAGGCATTGCAGAAAATCTATTGGCCCCTCTCATGCCCATGTTGTAGTCTAATGACAACAAAATCGAAACTGAAGCACTTATAGTTATGCAAAATTCCAGAGGTCAATCAAACACACGAAAATGATATAATTCCCAGAAATTTTTAACAATTGGATATGCTTGAATATTGATTACTCACTTGAATTTCAAGATGGACTGCACTGGGCCAAAGATTTCATCCTTTGCTATCAACATATCATCCTATTGGAGAACATGCTACAATCATGTTACTTGCTCCATTTGCAATGTCTTTATGATTCATCGAAGGGTAATATTTGCTGAAGGGGACCGAGAAATGGAAGAGAAAATACCTGAACATTTGAGAAAAATGAGGGTTGGATAAAGAAGCCTTTGGAGCCTAGTTGTCCACCTCCACATTCAAGAGTAGCATTGCTTTCAATCCCAGATCTTACGTAACTGAGAACCTTCTCAAATTGCTCTGAATCTATCTGGAATTTCCATAAGATTCACAAGTAACATTAGTCGAGCTCTCAAGATTGGCCAGAGTTTGAGTTATATTGGAATCAATGAAAAGCAAAAGTTCACTGCTAGTTCAGGAAATGGATTATCCCGAAAACTCAGATTTTATTGGACATGCAGCTCAACAGCTTAATTTGACTTATAATACGTGTGAAGCCACTCTATAGGAAGGTTGCATCTTGTGAACAACGGGTGCGCAATAATGACGAGTATGCTTCTTTATATGGTGGTTTTCAATTTAAGCAAAGAGACAGAGTCACGGCTCAGTATCCTACAGAATTGTAATGGAGTTGACGGACATAAAGGAACAATATATGTATTGTACAACTATATCATTGTTCTAGAGGTCCCATTTAATGTGCTGAGAACAGCAACAATGAATCAATCACAGAACTGTTCCAATGGACATACTTCATGCCAATCTAGTTCTTTTTGTGCCTCGGATATATTTTTAAGTATTGAGGGGCGGGGAAGGTGGGGAAAAGAGAGAGATCTCACTTGAGGGCCTTGCTCCACACCCTTTTTGAAGGGATCACCCACTATACGTTTCATAGCACGTGCCTTTGCTTTCTCAATAAACTCATTGTACACACGTTCTTGTATGTATGTACGAGAACCAGCACAGCAACATTGCCCCTGCAGATAGTGAAGCATTTGTCATTGAAGTGTTCAACATAGAAAAGAAGATTTGCGTGAGAAATTGAGTGAACAAACCTGATTAAAGAAAAGAGCAAAATGTGCAAGTTCCACAGCCGTACCAATGTCAGCATCCTCGCATACAATGAAAGGTGACTTCCCTCCAAGCTCTAATGTCACAGGCTTGAGATTGCTTCTTGCCACCAATTCGAGTACAATGTTGCCTGTATCAGTTGATCCTGTGAAAGCAAGCTGCAAAAAGAATGGCAATGGCTTTAATGTCGAAAATCATAATAAACAGCCAAGTTTGGCCCAATAGTTAGATTTGTGAAGGACCACATCTTCTGAGTGCCAGTTTGTTTGAGACTTTCCGAAAAACAATTTGGGATCATTGAGGGTCTCGTTTCTTACTCTCATTAAGACAAACAGATTATTGAATCTGATCCAAATTTGTCTGTTTACACCACCAGCCAGTCAAAAACACCATAAAATGGCACTTCAAAACTAAAAATATGAAAAGGTGAAACACTTTGATTAAAAAAGGCAGCCTAGTACACGAGAAGGCAAAAAACTTGGATTATATTCTAAATTTCCTACTGATTGTATTGTGATTATTTTCCTCTACCATAGTAGAAGAAATGTCTCCTGAGCCATGCAAGTCATGATTAAAGAGATGCACCGATAACACAGTCAAGTTCATCACATCACAAAATTTATAGAAAGCTTGGAAAATTTATGCTAAGGACCTTGTCCACATCCATATGACTAGCAAGAGCCGCACCAGCAGTTGGACCATAGCCAGAAACTATATTTAGAACACCAGGAGGAAGACCGGCCTATCAAAAAGAATGCAGGTTAGATGGGAAAATGATAGCTTAGAGAAAGAAAAAGACATATCATCTAAATATCTTTCACATCAAAAAAGACAGAAGAAGTTATCAAGAAAGCATAAAATTTTGCGAAAACAGTCGTATACTTGTGGCATTTTTCAAGTACAGCCATGCAATTACTCACATATTAGCCTTTCTCTGTTTTATTGCTTTCTTTCAAAAAATACATTTACTTCAAATTTAAGTAGAACCCTATTTGGTATAAAAATAGGTGCTGGAGCCCAAAGATTCTCAAATTCACCTTGAACAAAATACAAGCCAAAACAATAATACCAACAAAATAATGAGATGACATATAACACCAAACAATGAACACAACTGCTCGAAATTACCTCATGGAAGAGCTTTGCTGCATACAGAGCAGTCAAGGGCGTTTGCTCTGCACTCTTTAGGACAACAGTATTGCCACATGCAAGTGCAGGGCCAACTTTCCAAGCAAACATAGCGAGAGGAAAGTTCCATGGAATGATCTGTCCTGCTACACCAATTGGTTCATGCAAAGTCTGCACATGGTATGGTCCATCAGCAGGAACTGTCAATCCATGTAATTTATCTGCCCAACCTGCATTACATGAAAGAACATTCTTTAAAAAATTCATCCAAATAGTGTACAACTATACTGCTACTGATGATTTTAAGAATCAAATTTCAGGAACATATGAGACTCGATTATTTTTAGTGCTCTTACCAGCATAATAGTGAAATATACGCACAATTATAGGCAATTTGATTTTGGCAGCTTGTTCATAAGGCTTTCCATTATCCCATGTCTCAAGAGCTGCAATCTCATCAATGTGTTTCTCAAGCAAATCAGCAAATCGCAAAATTATCCGTGACCTTTCCTGAAACCCAATAGAGAAACAAGGCAGCACTGATATATAATGATTTTGAACAAGGAAACCATTCACAAATTAATGCAGCAGCAAGTCATAAGCATACAAGCAGAAAATAAAGGGAAAACATTCTTACATAAGCGGTCATTTTCAGCCACGGTCCCTCATCAAACGCCTTCCGGGCAGCAGACACCGCACAATTGATATCCTCTGCATCACCTTCAGCAACATGGGCAATCACCTCCCCAGTCCGAGGGTCCAACGTTGGAAATGTTTTTTCTGAAACCAACTGGCGGGCCTCCTGTATGGATCCTCAACCCCTAGGGTGACACGTGTCCTAATAAAGTCATTAGGATGTCTGGAAGATGCCGAAGGGGTGAGCCGAGGCATGGCGACAGAGCAGCTGAGTACAACAGCTGGCATTATAATCAAAACGATGTGACCTCGTATTTATGGCGAAATGAGTGATGGTGACAGGACAAATAAATGCGAGCCTGCCGCCAATTGCTATCTGCAAGTCTATGCCTACTGTCATGATGGCTGGAGTATTAATGACTGATGCGCCGAAACAACGCGATTTGTTCTCCTGAGTTCCCTGATCCGCTGAGCTGTCCGTGCTCTGTCGGTGTCAGACGCCAACCTCTTGGATTGGGCTGCTCGACTCGTAGTATAAATGCTCGGCTTGTGGCCGAGCACTTACACCATTCCCCTGACATTCAATTGGAGGAGGCGTAAAAGGGAAGCATTCACAGCACGAGGGATGGTGTCAGATGTGAGATGTCCAGATGAGACTGAAGATCTAGAGCAATCATTGCTAATTCAGGTATAAATATCCCTAAGAAAAATGGATAAAAGTACGCAAAATCAAACCAGAGCACATCTACTAAGAAACAGCTCTTCGATCTTTACTGACTTAAGCTTCGGAGGGGATCCGCCGGGCTCACGCCTGACCCCCTTTCTTCTAACCCCGTCTTTTCAGGCTTGCCAATCAAGGGATCGCATTGCAGGAATTATCCCGTGCACCAACATAAATTCCAACATCAATTCAAATTTAGATATGCACTAATTTACCTTATGCAGTAACAGCGTAATCAATTGGACAATGCAATGCAATGTCCGAACAAAGCACTACCAGATGCTGAATCCACAAATTTGCCATCGATCAGAAGCTGGGTATAATTGACCTGAACAGGTGGGGTGACTGGTTCCTCTGTGACTGCAGCAGTGCTAAACCTGCAGGTGCCTCTCCTCAAGCTAGAATTTATGCCTGAAGAATTTATGTTTCACAATATCAGATTCCATGATCTATATCACACACCATGTACAACCCTCCCCCACTTCACACACACACACACACAGATCAATTCATATTATTAATTGAAGTCTTCAGAAATGACATCCTCCTAAATTTTCTTCTCTACTGCAGGATTATTAATTACATTATTTTGGATTTGAGTTGCATAACAAACAAAACACTCAGATTAGTTAAACGATTAGAAACGTTAAATTAAAACAGAAATTGACATATAATTAGGCAAACTTTGTTTCCCAACACTCCCCACCCCTCCAGGATAAAAAAACAAACACAAACCAGACAAATTAAAGCCAGTAAAGTCCTATATGCATACAGCATTCATGTATAAAGAAGGCACAACAGGTCAACCAGACAACACCAACAAACCAAAAAGGATATGCAACACAAGTATATACATATATAACAGAATAACACACATCAATCTACGTATAGAGAGAGAACCAGAAGAGAGTGGTCACCAAGGGAAGCATAAACAGGAGGAAGAGAGAGAGAACGANAGGCAAACTTTGTTTCCCAACACTCCCCACCCCTCCAGGATAAAAAAACAAACACAAACCAGACAAATTAAAGCCAGTAAAGTCCTATATGCATACAGCATACATGTATAAAGACGGCACAACAGGTCAACCAGACAACACCAACAAACCAAAAAGGACATGCAACACAAGTATATACATAAANAGCATACATGTATAAAGAAGGCACAACAGGTCAACCAGACAACACCAACAAACCAAAAAGGATATGCAACACAAGTATATACATATATAACAGAATAACACACATCAATCTACGTATAGAGAGAGAACCAGAAGAGAGTGGTCACCAAGGGAAGCATAAACAGGAGGAAGAGAGAGAGAACGAGAGAGCAAGGAGGAGAGTCTGCGAGCTGCCATGGCCAAAGCTGTACTTCTAATCTACACCAAGTCATAAAACTTATTAAGAGTGACCGAGTGTGCGAATTCAACCAAGACTTTTTATGCACAACCAAACGTCTCCCTCTCTCTCTCTTCAGATATATAAATCTTCTTAAATTTATATCCACGTAACACTTAAATCACTGCGATTAATGTCCGTTATTAAATATGTTAGTAAATTACATCCACACCCTTTAAAATTTAAATATGTTAGTAAATTACATCCACACCCTTTAAAATTTATAAGTATATAATATTTAGAATCTTCAAGTTTAAAATGTTATATTAAAATTAAAAATATTTTAATCAAAGATAGGATATTAAATATTTTAATTTTAAAATCAAAATTCATGTTCTATTGTATAATTTATTAAAATAAAATAAAAAAATCAATTTTTTTTATAAAAAATCATAATTAGTACACAATTATATTATTTATTGTTATAAAATTAAAAAAATCAAACAGGAGGTCTAAATCATTCATAATAGAATATGAATTTTACAACCAAAATTCATATTCTATTACATTATTTATGGAAATAAAATCAAAAATAAAAATTTAATTTTTCTTAAAAAAATAGGATACAATTATACTATTTATTGAAATAAAAAAAAAACAACGGGTCAAACTATAATGACACAATATATTATAACTTTAATTTGGGTAATTTTGTAATTTAATTTCATAGTTTAAACAACCAAGTTAAATTATAATAGATACTATAATTGTACACTAGTTGTGATTTTTTAAGAAAAAAACAATAATTTTGTTTTTAATTTTATTTCAATAAATACCATAATAGAACATGAATTTTGATTGTAAAATTTAAAATATTTAATATTCTATTTTTTATTGAAGTATTTTTAGTCTAAGTATAACATTTTAAACTTAAGAGGTTTAAGTATTACACGATTATAAACTTTAAGAGATCTGAATGTAATTTATTAATGGATACACTAATGGATATTGATGGCATGAGTCTATCACACGCGTACAAACTTTAAGGGGTTTATATATAATATTTCAAACGTAAGAAGATCTGAATGATTATACAACAAATCTCATGTGTAATTCTCTCTTTTCTTTCTCCGAGAACCATGTTCTTACTTTTTACATCGGTTAATTACAAAAATACCCACTCTAAGTATTTGGTCATGCTATAATCAATTTCTCGAACTTTTAATTTAAACAATTTGCTTTTCGTGGCAATTGGAGATTGTATTGCTTGAATTGTCTGATATTAACTTTTGTGTAAAAAGATATTTTTGAGTGAAGCTTTTTTTAAAAAAAAATTAATTTGTATCGTTAAATAAAATTAAATAAAAAATAAAGTACGTTCAATCCTTGTTGTAATTTTAAATATATATAATTTAAATATTTAGGATTTAGGTGTAATGTTAGATAAATTAAGAATAGGGGAATATCTCTCAGCTTTTCTGATGACATCATCTTCCCACGCGCCAATAATTTGGCCTCTCTCTCTCTCTCCCTCCCCATTGATATGCATAACTATCAACCAACACGATAAATTATTTTGAATATTTTTTAAGAATGTCAATCATTAATTTCATCAATTACATAGGAAAATTATGGTATTAAAAGAGGTATTATATCAAAATTATTTTCTATTTTTTTTAAAAAAGATAAATTATAATTTCTTGCAGTGAAAGTTATAACTAAAAAAACATGATCGCTCTCAAAATAATATCATCAATCATGAAAATTACACAACTTTAAAGATAAAGTTACAACTCACACACAAGAAAAGAAGAAGTTATAATTGATCCAAGTAATTCATAATCGGTCACAATATTTCATAATCTCGATCACTTTGGAATGGGTACTTTTTTCTTTTGGATAACTTAATGTTATCCTTAATTACGTGCTTACAACTGAGTGCTAATGTTCGTGATGTTGGGAGACTCGTTACTTCAACTAAATAATGAATTCTGATCAAAAAGAAAAAAAAAATACATATTGAATACTTTTTCAGTTCTTTAAAATATGCATTAAATATTTTTTTTCATCCCTTGATTAGCAATTTTGTCAATACATTGGCAAGTTTTTCAATGTAGTTTAAATATTTTCAATTATGACGGCGTGACATTTGATTAAATATATCCATGGTCTAAAGTATTCATTAAATGTCACAAATGATTTCCTAATTATCAATTCGTAAAATTGACAAATTTGATTGTGGATGAGTCAAAAAGATACATTCAATGTAAAAAGCTTATTTCATTGACTCGACCCGATTATTTACTCTTAAATTAAAAATTTTTGAGCCGTAATTCACAAAAATTAATAACTGAAGGGTTAATGTGACATTTTACAAACAATTCAGGGACAAAAAAACATATTTAATTATTTTATGATTTTCCTTTTTTCCGCATAGTTACATGCAATTTCTTGTTCCATGCAGAAATAAAAGAAGGGCGAATTGCAATTTGCATCTAAAAGGTTTTAAGATTTTCACTTTATATCTTCAAAAATTTANGTTCCATGCAGAAATAAAAGAAGGGCGAATTGTAATTTGCATCTAAAAGGTTTTAAGATTTTCATTTTATATCTTCAAAAATTAAAATTTTCATATTGTACCTTTAATGTATCAAAAATATTACAATGTGACCATTCTATTAACTTTTTATTAGGTTTTTCATCAGTGTCAATAAGTTAATCTTTAAAGAAAAAATAACATAAGTTTGATAGAAAGGCTATATTGTAATATTTTTAATATATTGAAGGTGCAATATAAAAAATTTAATATTTGAAGATATAAAGTAAAAATCTTGAAATCTTTAGGATAAAAAAGCAAAAAGCACATACAAAAATCGTGTTAGGGAAATTATTTTTGAAACAACATAGTGGACAACTTTTCCAGATAATTTTATATGGACTAAATTTGTGCACCAAATTAATTGTAATTATTGGATCAATGATTGAACACATTGATTTAACGACTGCAAGTGATTTAATGTAAGTTTTGATGCACATAACAGTGTTCAATCTTTTCTTCAAAGATGCACCTAGTTTTTATACGTCGGGATCAGTGACAGAATTACGTAGTGGCTGTGAACCCTTAAAATTTTCAAAAATTTCAACAACCCCTTAGATGTTAAAAAAAAATTCAATGCTTCCCCTTTGGTTTTAGAACCCTATAGATAATTGACTTAATGTATCAAAAAATGCCAAACGGTGTGATATTTCCTAACCAAATGGGGAATGTAATCACTTTGATGAGCGTTTATACAGACAAGAACACAAACTTTCAATGAATCTGATGACTAAAAGAAAAATAAGTGAAATGAACGTAAAATCATGTTACGTATATGGCTTGTATCAAAAGNTCAATGAATCTGATGACTAAAAGAAAAATAAGTGAAATGAACGTAAAATCATGTTATGTATATGGCTTATATCAAATGNCACAAACTTTCAATGAATCTGATGACTAAAAGAAAAATAAGTGAAATGAACGTAAAATCATGTTACGTATATGGCTTGTATCAAAAGTAATGCATTGGCTCATGACTCAATTTTATTATGGTATTTTGTGAAAACAATATTGGCGAAGATATTTTTATTGATGGACTTGATTACGGCACTGAAAAAATTCCGATACTATACGTTCAAAATTTATTACTTTAATAAGTATTTTTATAACTTTTATGAGTTATTTTACAACCACAAAAATTATCACTTTTGTGAGTATATTTTTAATACTATTTTGGGCCTTTTTACCATTATTATCGTAACTATTTTCTCAATAAAAAATAAAATTATCATTTTTATATGTGATTTACTATATTTGTTAGTATTTTTGTCATTGTTGTAAGTGTTTTATCACTGTTGTAGGAATTATTTTTCTCACTTTTTTTTTGTATGTCACAACAGTTATAAGAACACTCACAAATGTGATAAATATTGGTACAATACCAAAATATTTTTTATCGATGCTGTAGACATCTCCATTATTGATAGTCATTACATCGTACCTTGTTGATAGTAATCGCATCATACCTTATTCATAGTCACATGTATCATGTCCTAGTTAGAAGAAAAACGAAATATAATACAAAAAAGGACCCATATATGTAATTTTAAAGATTGCTTGTCCAAATCCAAATCCAAATCGTATCCCAATATTAATTATAAGTAGTGATTAAGTGTTTTAGTTGGCATAATAAAGAGCAATGCTATGTTCATAGAAAATATGCACAAAATTATTTGTATTATTGGATCAACGAGTCTCATCATTGTTTCAACGATTATAATTAATTTGGTGTAAATTTTAGTGTATAAATTTAGTGCACATAGAATTATCCCATAATAAAATATAAAAAAAAAAGAGAAAAAAAAGGTCTTTCCACCTTGGATTAGATTCATTGTCGATTATTTGAGAGCAACATACTACCTAACATCAATATGCTTGCTTATCTAATAAAGGTCAATGCAATCAAATAGTTTAACAAGAAAAATTTCTGCAGCATATTTTTATCAACAAAAAAATAAAATCAAAACGTGTTGCCATACACATAACAATTGACAAATTATACGAGTATTATGCATGTATATCTCTTAAAATCAATCCAAATCATTGAAAAAAATTGTGATTTTTTTTTATTTGAGATAGAGTTATTACAAAGATGAGGGAATAGTAATATATAATAAAAATATGATAAAAAAATATAAATAATGAATAGAATTTTTGACATTATAAATAGGATTTAGTATTGTCAAAGGTAAAGTGGAAATGAGGAATGAAGATGGTAACACCANAAAAATAAATAAATAATGAATAGAATTTTTGACATTATAAATAGGATTTAGTATTGTCAAAGGTAAAGTGGAAATGAGGAATGAAGATGGTAACACCAAAGAAGAGTACATTAGAGTTAAAGACCCACTAGAAAGTCTACTTCACCATGGAACATAAGCATGATTTTTTTTAAAAGTAAAGATTAATCCTCTCGGATAAAAGATTTTGTTATCGG